GGGCTCTCAGCACCACCCAGGGAGCCCCTGGGGTCCCCTCACCCCTGGGCATATTTCCTTTATGACAGAGAACCCCAGATTGGCTCCGCCTCTTCCCCAAGTTCTCAAATGCTCTGGGAAGGTGGCTTTCCTCCCAGCAGGGAGCAGACAGACTTGACTCTGGAGGCTGGAACGGGTCCCACTGAGGTATGACTGTTACAGGGACCTGTCCTCTGTCTCTGGTGTCACCAGCCTGGACTCAGAAACCCACATCCAAGTGACTCAAGAAAACTTCAGGGCCTGGGCGTGGAGGGGCAGGCGACCTGTGTCCTGGGAAGGGAGGATGTGGCAGTGGGAGGCAGTGACCCTGGGCTCTGCTGCCCTTGGGGAAAGATTTCAGGGACAGCTTTGCTCTCCATTTGTAGGTGGAGCTGTGGCTCAGGCCTGCCCATGTCCTCTGTGGGTGTCCTCTGTCCTCTGTCTGGGTGGTTCTCTTGTGGTCATCCTTTGTTTCCCCATGGGTAATGCCAGGAAGGAGGGGACGACACAGGGGCCCATGGCCGAGCAGACTTCTCCTTGGCACATGAAGGGAATTAGGGGAAAGCTGACATGTGGGAGGGTACCCACCAGGCCCTTGATGCTGAGGTGGTCATCAAACATCTCTACCTCCACATCCAGCCAAAGCCAAGCTCTTGTCTCAAAGAATCATATGCTGGGTGCTGACTGTAAGCCCAATATCGCCCCCTGGTGGTCATGAGGAGACCTGTGGCCAGTGTCAGGGTCTGTAGCAGGGATGGTGCCCAGGGTCCAAATGCAAGAGCTGGCCTATGACCGCTGGGCACAGGTGGCTCTAACCTATAGGCTGCACAGTGTGTTCTGTTCAGAGCGTCCCCAGGATGCCTCAAACCGAGTGCAGGGAGAGTTTGGGAAGGGATGGGAATTGTCTGGAGGACTCCTGCTCAGAGTTGGGAGAGCTTTGCACCCGGGGATGGGCAGCCGCAGGAGGAGCCATCTGTCCCAAGGATTCAAAGGAAGGACATGGGTGGTGTCTCTTGAAGAAGCTCATAACCAAGATGGTGCACTATTAGGAATCCATGGACTCTCTTGCCTTCTGACTTTTGGTTAGAGTTGTTTTCATTTTATTTTCCCTTGTGAGATTTGCAGGCATGTGGGAGGCTTTTCTTTCTACCTGGCCCCACAAATGACCAACCTGAGCACAGGTGACCCCTGCAGACCCCATGATGAGCACCCAAGGCTGGCAGTGAGCAGGGAGTGGGCTAGGAGGGCTGTCCCCTCTCTGTGCTGGATGGAAGAAGAAGGCTGAGGATTTTGTTTGAGGTGGGGGAACACGCAGGTTTGGATTCCCTGGAGGGGTGGCTACCAGGCCACAATGCAAAAGTAGCACCTGCTGTCACAGGGAGAGAAGCAGGGAGGTCGCTATTCTGACAGTAGCTGTCCTGGGGTATAAAGTAGACTGGGAGTGACCTCCAGGACAGATTGTGAGGTCAGGTGTGTTGATTGTGTCTGACCCATTCATAGGGCCAGGGCTGGCTCTATATGAGCAGAGTTGCCTCAATGGATGGGATGAGATGGGAATGAGGACAATGAGATGACATGCCTGGCTTGGAGGGGCTCAGCTTGACACAGATTCCCAAGTGTGAATCTGTGGCTCCGGGAGCAGGGTGCTATGCTCTGGGGGTGCCCAGGCTGGTGTGGTTCCCAGGACAGGACCTGTTGCCAGAGTTTGTATTAAGTTCCCATCAGGTTTTAGGCTGCAACAGCGACCTGAGAGTCAGGGGACTTGTGCTTATGTGCACACACTCCCTGGAGCCTCCAGAAAGCAGCTGCAAGGACACCTTGGTGTCTGCTGTTCCCTGCCACTGTGTTGGAGCCCTGTGTTGGAGCCACTGTGTTGGAGCCAGTGTGTTGCAGCAGCACCAGGAAACCAAGGCAAGAGAAGTCACCGTGTGGGACCTGATGCTGTGTTCATGCAGGACAAGCCTCACTAGAGCTGAGTCACATTGGAAATTCCAATGGTTTCTTCCTATTCCTCATCTGAGGGCCCACCACTCTAGGCATCAGCAGAGTGTCCCCTGAGTTTAGTACATGGACCTCTTATTTCCAGGCATAGTGGCCTGATCCAAGGGAGCCTACCTGAGAATGTCACCCTTCCAGCCCTCAGGGAAGGAGTCAGAGCAGTGGCCAGGTGTGTGGAAGAGGCTGCAGTGGACATCCTGGGCCCAAGTTCAGGGAGGAGACCCTCTGTCCTGTCACCATGGAGCCTGGAGAGCCCCATGTGGGGAGCCCTGAGCCTCTGCCCTGGGTGCGGGAGTGTGCAGAGGAGGCTGGTCCCAGGGAGACCAGGCAGGGCAGAGGGGAAGGTGATGGGAGGGCAGGGCTGGAGCCTCGGACTGAGCCTGAGGCCCTTATTCAGGGCCTGAGTCTGGGTCTGGCCCTGTCCCCTGATTACTCTGACAGCCTCAGTCTGTGTCCCAGCTGAGGTGAAGATGTCCTGAGTACTGGCCTTTGGGAAGAGAAATAATCAGTGACCACAGCTAGCCACCCTGGGTCCCTGGAGCATGAGGGCCACTGAGTGCTCTGCTGGCTGCAGGGCCTTGGGACCCTCACCCTTCCCTGTGGACAGACGGACCTTTGCCCTGCTCCACCTCCCAGCTCCTGTCTCCCAGGAAGAGAAACCCTGTGGGAACAACTTAGAGACCACGATTCCCCTGCGTGACACAGGAGAGAGCTGACCTGGAACTTGAGGAGAGTGTCTGCCAAGAGACGTTCCCACAAGAACCAAAAGAGCGAAGGAGGGAAGGGGGTCTTTATTCAGCGCCTTTCCAGGTGACCCACAGGGCCCTTCCCTCTCCCTGAAGCCCCTGCTCCTGGGCACAGGCAGCCTGGTTCTGGCCATTCAGAGCCCAGGGCAGCCTTTCTAGGTCTCCAGGAACCCAGGGACCCCCCCCACACACACACACACATACCATGTGTAAGAGTCTCCCAGGGCTCAGGTTCCACCTCTGCTCCATCTCCCAGGGTCCAGGTGGAACCCTCCCTCAGCCCATATGGAGCATTGTCTGGTGGCAACTATGAAGCCACGTGAGCTTTGTGGTCAATACGACAATAGATGTCCACGTTAGGGTTTCGTAATTCCTGAAAAAAGAAAAAAAACACAAAGAGGACTCTGACCCTGTGGCCTTCTTAGAATAAGGACCAGGGACACCTTGACTCTGGCCCCCCTGGGACTGCTCTGTGCCTGTGCCTGCCTGAGCTGAGAGGCTCCTGTTCCCAGGCCCCTCCCTCCCCTGCTCACCACCCCGGATCCTGTTTTGGCTGCTGCTTTTGGAAAGCTCAGGAAGGTGTGGGGAGGGGCAGCTCCTGGGTCCCCCCTAGACTGTGGGCCAGGATGTTCATCACCCACACTCACCTGGTAGATGGGAACCGCAGACCTGTGGCCAGGGACAGGGGACTGGACAGGAGAAGGAGAGTGGACATCAGGGTCAGCAAGGGAGGGTCAACAAGGCTGAGAATCCAGTGAGCAGGTGCTGGGCGGTGCTCACTGACAGGCCAGTTTTTACTTCCCTGTGTCTGCCTTATTCCTTTCTTCTCAGGAGGTACCAGCTCTGGGTCCTGGGCATCAGCCTCCACTTCTGGACAGACACCCCAGTTTCCGCCCAGATTCTCGACCCCCATCATTAACCCAGGACCACTGATAAGCTCCCTGCACCCACTGTGCACTTTCTGGCCTCCAGGGCTCACTGAGACAAATGGAGGGAAGCAGGGTGGACTGAGGACAGAGGGACAGTGATCTTGTCCCTGAGAGTGGCCAAGCCTCTGGCAAGAGCCAGGCTAACCTTGTCCTGGTCCCACATGAAAGGGGGTGTCTGTGCTGTGTAGGGGTTGACAGTGCCCCTGCTCTGAGCCTGCTTAGCTGGGTCCCCTATGTGGAAGGAGGTGGGGGGACTTACCAGGGAGGTGGAGCTGTCAGAGGGACCTTGGCCTGGGGGCAGAGACAAGAGTTAGCAGGAGGGTGTGAGGAGGGCTGGGCCCCTGCCTTTAGAACTGAGAGGCTCCTGTTCCCAGTCCCCTCCCTCCCCTGTTCAAAGCAGCAGCCAAAACAGGATCAGTGGGTGGTGAGCAGGGGAGGGAGGGGCCTGGGAACAGGAGCCTCTCAGCTGGGAGTCCTCAGCTGACAGAGTGACAGGGCAGTCAACTTGTCCTGAGAGAGACCCTGTAGCCCTTTTAGAGTCCCAGGGAGCCAAGGAACCTGAGAAGGTGACCAGATGCCACAGGTCTGGGCTGAACTGGCCAGAAGGGTCCGCTGTCTTGAGTGTTTGATGACAGGGTTCCTTGAAGCACCAGGGAAAGATCCCTGTCCTGGAGAGGTGTTTGACTGCAAGAGTGACACTGTGGGACAGGCCTAGGGGGCCCAGCCACCCACCGGCTGAGGGGGGCACTCACCATGTGGTGATGCTGGGGTGCGGGGGTCTCTGAGGCCATGCTGGACACCAGCCCTAGGGAAGGTCAGGCTTATTCATGAGGGTGCAGAGAGAGGACTGAGGTCAGATAGGGGATGAGGAGGGTACCCCATTTCCAAGGAGAATGTGAAACCTTCCTCTGTCCATCAGGTCTGTGTACAAGAGGGCCCAGGAGAGGGGAGCTGAGGAAAGGCCTTAAGAAGCCACTTCAGCCCAGGGTAAGAGGTGAAGGCCCCTCTGAGATGCAGACCCAGGGGAACATTGCCGAAGGGACCCAGAAAAGGGTCTAAAGAATCAGGACCAAGCAGGAGGGTTTGATTGAGTGAAAGGGTCCACGCCCTGGGCAAGAATCAGGGTCACCAAATGGGTAGGACATTGTGGGAGCAGTTTGTATCTTGACCCTCTCTGACCTTGGTGATCCTGCTATAGCCAGGCCATTTGCTCAGGCCAGGAGGTTTTGAAATATGATAGTGGCCTTGACCTCTCTCCACTCACCTGGCCAGGAAACAAAGGATATTCAAAGACACACTATCCTGGCTGGGCCCCAGAACTCCCACCTCCATATCAGGGGCCACGGGTAACCAAGAAGATGTAGGGAGCTGACCCCACCAGCTTATGCAGAGTGACCTGGGACAGGACCACCCCTCAGTTACAGAGCCTCACCCCTCAATTGGTGTGGGTGAAATAAACTGCAGGGGTGCTGTTTTTGAACACTAATCTGTCTCAGGATGTGTTCTGTGTGAGGGAAGGAGGACAGTGCTCTGGGGACAGATCCCTAGTGACCAATGTGCACAGGAGGAAGCTGTTGTGGCAGCAGCCCAGGGTCAGCAGCTGGTGAGGCAGAATGAGGGGAAGGTCGTCGTGAAACTGGGAGGTCGGAGTCAGGCCAGAGTCTGAGGATGGTCTCCTTCCCTCAGGCCTGGGGTC